CAGGCTGGCCTCGAACTCAAAAATCCGCCTGTCTCTGCCTCCCAAGTGCTGGGATTAAAGGCGTGCACCACCACCGCTCAGCAAAACTATAGAAACTTAACAAGAGAATTGAACGACTTGGATTAGACAGTAGGATAGTCATAAGACGTTGATGTTAGGATTACTTTCCTTTATATATATAACAATAATACATAAACCAGAGGATGACTGTTTAGAAAGCGTTAATTTATGTCTGTAATAAAAGGTTATTATTTCGTGTAGGCCCTGAGTACTCTTGGGATTATTCTACTTGAGAATTCAACAGAAATGGCGATTCTTTTCTTTTCCATTTTGTACTTTTTTATTATTTTACTCTCGTAGAAAGGTAATCTTAACAACTCAGTTTCTTTTCCATAAGAGTTTCACCAAAATCAAGACGTCTTTAGATAAATATTGTTAGCTCGAGTAGAGTGTGAACGTAATCTAGTTCCTCTTTGTTTTGCTTAGCAGTAATTTGTGTGGAGACACATGAAATTTTTAGCTCTTAACCATCCCTGCAGTGGACATGGGTAATAGGCGGTATCCTGTACAAAGAGCGCTGTCATGGCCCAGCTGTAAAGCAGCAGCAATCTTTCTCTCAAGCTACTGTTCAAAGAAATAATCTGAAACCAAATGGCAGCTGAATGTCTACAACTTGCAGGCTCATCTCATATATATATATATATGTGTGTGTGTGTGTATACATGTATACGCATATATATAAAATCAATCTCAAGATATTTCAAAGTACATTTAAAATCATGCCCGTTGGTGGCATGATTTCAGTCTGCCTTACTTGTTGGTTTGCGGGTGCCTGGCCCTGTGAGATTTTCAGGAGGGTACAGATCCTCAGCCATTACTCAGGATCCCAGCCAGCCCTTCTAGGCCTCATGCTTTGAGCCAGGCTACCCAACCATCTGGAATTCCCAGTTCTCGTCTCACTAACAGCCAATGGCTCCCACTCACCACCCTGTGTCTTCAGGCTTTTTGAAGGACATCCATTGCAAGCTTGATTCCTGTGTCCCTACAAACACTTTTCCAGGCACACCATGGCCATGATGTTCAAACCCACACATCCCTTTTTAACAAAAATCAGAATATATTGCAATAGAGTTCATAGTTGATTATTCATCCAGTACTATTTCATGGACATCTTTTCTGTGTGAGCAGGATGTACAAGAATGAGAACAGTCCCATTCTTGTTTGAAAGATAAATAATGTTCCCCATTAGTCATTACTGTGGCATAAACACTCTTAGGAATCACTATTTGTTTAATAGCATAACTATTTCTGAGAATGCTGGGTCAGGAACATGTGTTTTATTAAGTTTATAAATGCTGTCTTACTGCCCTCTAAAAGAGTTGTGCCAATTCACAGTTTAAAACAATTTTACATAGCAGAGGCAACGCTGAATGATGTCATTTTGCTAATTTCTTCAGATCAGCCCCTCCACGTATAGTTCCATTACAGAGAGTGGCATTCCTTTCTGCTCTCCCTCTGAGAGAGCAGCTTTGGAGGTTTGTGATTTTTTATGGATTGCTTTTTCCTAGACATTACTTACTTTTCAGTTATTATTTTCTTACCGATTGATACAAGTTCGTTAATCAGTATGATGTTAAATGCTAATTGCTCCACCTGGAAGTAGGTTGGACACTAAATACCTCAGTCTCGCTCTGGACTTTAGCTGGTGTTTTTTTGTCTTTGTCACCTTCAGGTTTATTTCTTTTTGCTCAGAATTGTTTCGCACCCCTCCCCCCATCATTGGATATTATTAATTTTTGTCTTAATATTGCCTTTATAATACAGCCTTTTCACATCACTGTCATGCTGTTTATGTAGGCTTTATTTCATGTGCTACAACTTCAGTACTGCTATTTTTTCCTTGTGCAAATTTTACATTTTAATTCCTGATTTACCTTTTTTTATTATAAATGTTTGCAAATAGTTGATAAGTATATGTAATGTATATAATGATTAGTAATATTGTATCCCAAGGAAGCAGGATTGGTGCAGTATTAGGAAATCTAATATCCTGTCCCACCATTAGAAGATAAAGAACAGTCACATAGTCACTGCTAGTAGACATTTTAAAAGCATCAGAGAAAAATCTATATGTACTTTTGATTGATAAATTTTAAAATGAGTATAAGGGAATTCCTAAGTCTATCCGTATGTTCTTATTTTTAATGTTAAAACATTTTTTAAAAAAAGATTTATTTATTTTTTATTTACATGAGTACAATGCAGTTGTCTTCAGACACACACTAGCAGAGGGCATTGGATCCCATTACAGATGGTTGTGAGCCACCATGTGGTTGCCGGGAATTGAACTCAGGGCCTCTGGCAGAGCAGTCAGTGCTCTTAACCACTGAGCCATCTCTCCAGCCTGAAACATTTTTTCATGATCATAGTAGATACTGCAGCTAAAGAACTGAAAATGAAGATAGTATTGGGAAGTTTATTAGGGTGAGAGGTCAGAAGTCAGCTTCCTAGGAACATCTTAAAAATAACAAGGCAGTCAGTTTAAAATCTCATCTAGTACGATGCTAGGCTTTATTTTGAACTGAGGTAAATGAGTGTGTGCCTTCACGAAGTGTACACGTGGGGTATGCCTGTGTTCATGTGCGTGCACATGTATTTGTGTGTGTGTATGTGTGTGTGTGTGTGTGTGTGTGTGCCACTCAAGTAGAACATGATGGACAGTTTGCACCTGACTTGTGTTTACAATGTGTTAGAGATAAAGACATGTTCCTCCTATGAATGCTAGTAAAATTGAAGTAAGTTTTGCCTAAGCTATCTTCCAAGGACTGCCACTCTGATATTAAGGCCTAGTTGTTATGGACACAGTATGATAATAAGCATTTACAGACATATAGTGGATATAGCCTGCTCCAGGCCCTCAGGAAGGAATCATTTGACCTCTTAGAGATAGCAGTGAGTCCTGGAGGCTGATACCATGAAACCGGGTCTTGTGGGATAAATAGAATTTCTACACATAGAGGAAGAAAAAGCTTCCCAAACTAAGAGAACAGAGTGAACAAATTGTGGTGATGGGAGCCAGGGTTGAGTTAGGTAACCCAGAGTACTCAAATCCTGCTGAGCATTCCCTAGAGAACGTTAAAATAAGAAAATTAAGAAAGGGGAAAACAAACAATCCAGGATCCCGTAACTTTGTGAGGTAGCTTAGTTTGTTTTGTTTTGTTTTTGAAAGTTCCATGGATGGTTCCATTCACTGTCAGAGTTGAAAAACAGGGATACAATCCAGCGTTTATAGAGCCACCACCAGGGAGATGTCGGAAAGATACAGATTAGCGTCAGGTGACAACTGAAATAGCATTTCGTATTGCCAGGGTTTTTAAATTTCTATTACATTACCACAATTCCTCCAAGTTGTTGTTGTTGATGTTGTTACTGTTTTAAGAGAGAGTCTCAATTATATATATGGTCTAAGCTGGTTTTGAAACTCATGATCCTCCTGCCTCAGCCTCCTAAGTGCTAAGATTAGGTATGTGCCTCCATGTCTGAAACGCCAAGTGTCTCTTAACTAACATGGACCCCCTAGGTGGATTTGAAGCAAAATATATTATATGAGATGAAGAGACAAGAACTGTCAAGGTTGCTGTATACTCGTCCCCAAACGTTAAAACAACCACCGTTTCTTCTTGTTCATACTCTTGTACGTTGACTGGACTCTTCTCAGCCGTCTGTGGACTCTTGGCCTTCATTGTTCCATATTGGTGGCTAGCATTGCTTTTAGCTGAGAATTTAGCAGGGGCTGTCAGTGTCTTAGTGAACACCTCACAGCGTCACTCCTGGGTCCCTAGAGGAAGCATCTCAAGAGCAAGTGCTCAAAAGGGCCCAGATTACAAGGCAGCTTACGAACCAGCCTTGAGAGCCTCAGACGTCACTGCCACGTTCTGCAGGTCAAGCAACTCCCGATCAGTGAAAGCTAAGTCATCTCCGTCCTGTGATAAGGACAGGGTGGATGTACAAGGAGAGAAGGAAATTGATGGAAGACATTTTGGGAGACCTGCTACGCCAATTATCAGTGTACCAACCAACACCGGATCAAAGTACGTGAAGCCAAATTCAAGGAGCTCTAGAGAGCAACACAGACAGAACAGTGAGGATTGAGGGATCTGATTCATGCAAAATGTGTGTGTAAACTATGTAGAAGATATTGACTGACTGTCTACGATAAAGAGCACACCCTGACTCCGGGTGTCTGTAGGACTTCTGCCTTTCCTCTCTAGAACAGGGAGGTGTTCACTTCCCCTCACATACATGAATCTGAAGCCTTAACCTGGTCTTTTCCTTACCCATCAACCTGGAAGAAATCGTTAAGAGTTGTTCTTCGTCAGTCTGGTCAAATGGGCCCTTCTCATTGCTGCTTTCCTCCGTAGGGTGACATCCTCAAACACAGTGCAAGTTCTCGAGTTAGGCATCCTGTCTTGTTTGGGGTTTTTTGTTTGTTTTGTTTTTGTTTTTGTTTTTCAGTTTTATTGGCTGAGAACACCAGGAAAAAAAGAGTTTATCTTGATTCCCCATAGTATCCTGATAAGAGCAGTTTTGACTCGTCCTGGGATGTTCTGTACCCTTCAGGGTCACCCTCCAGCAGCCACTGGAATCACCCCACTTTCTAACAGTGACTTGGGAGTTGAGCCAGCATTGTGTTGTGGGGAGGGCAGTTTTCTGATAAGAGTTTTGGCTTTGTTTTATTTTTCTTTTACTTACTCTCTGATGCCTGTGTTATGTACCATCCTGGTCCCATTAAGACAGTCTGAAATGGGAGCCCAGGGTGTGGGATGATGCAATTTCCTGGCCTGTGAAGGAGTCCTGTGCACTTCTTGCCTCTGTCATGTTGCTACCACGAGGTATAGGAGTTCTGTGTGAACTGGGTCTTGTCCTCGGATCACACCAGATGGGTGTGTAATCTGACCGCTGGCTTCCTCAGTAACACACAGGTCCCTTTGCTATTGCAGGTTGTCACACTGTGGTACCGAGCCCCAGAAGTCCTGCTCCAGTCCAGCTACGCCACCCCCGTGGACCTCTGGAGTGTCGGCTGCATCTTTGCAGAAATGTTTCGCAGAAAGTAAGAACTCCCGTTTTCTCTTTGAATTGTCTTGTCTTTTAAGTGCCCGAGTGGCATTTCTGTCTCGATTGAGGGTGTGATCAGACCCGCCTGCCCTACATCTGTGTTCCCGGTCCTTACAGCTTCTGGCTTGCGGGAACTCTAGAGAGTGATTCCCCCACTGCCCTAAATGGTTCACTTGAAACATCTTCCAGTAATTTTAGTGAAGAAAGATCCTCGGGGTGGACTTTATCCACAGGAGGATCAGGACTATGGAGGGTGTTGTTGTTGTTGTTGTTGTGGTCATTGTTGTTGCTGTTTTGGTTTTTATTTTTTCTCCATTAATTTCTTTACTTGTGCACTTTAAATCCTGGTCTCAGAGCTCCCCCACCCGCAGTGGGCCATGGAGTTTTTAACAGGAATTGTGATGGTGTAAACTGTTGGAGCTGGATATCATGGTAAAAAGGAGTAGGCAAGGGGAACCTGAGTGATTCCTGAGAGTACTGACATGGCCCTGCCAGACGGGGGAGGGATGCAGCACACTTTGGCACTGTAGAGGGTTGCAGGTTGGTGAGACAGTTCAGTGGGTACTTGGTACCAGGCCTGAGGACCTGACCCATGCAGCATATGGAGAAAACTGACCCTCGTAAGTCCTCAGACCTTCACGGGCATGTTGTGGCATGCACACAAGGTAAAATACATCCTTGAAAAAGCGGATTTGCTTAGAAGGGGGAATCTAATGATCAGATCAGGCTTCCTGAGTTCTCACTTAGTGCCCAAGTGTCCACCACACGTCAGAGATGTTTGAGCAGCTTTCATACGGCAGTGGGAGAGTCAAAGAGCTCCGGGAGGCCACCCCACTTATAAAAGTGGTAGTTCACTTGATTATTAGGCCACAAAAATAGGCAAACAGCATTAATCAAGTTTGGTCAAGCTTCGTTTCTATTTTTGTTTCCCTCAGAAGAGGTGAGTGAGAAGGCAAGTGTATTCCTATTGAGCATGTACAGAGTGTAGGTCTGCGTAGCTTCTTTTCTGAGGAAAGAAGTGGTTAGCCATTCTGGCTTGCTGGTCGTTTTAACCAGAGGAAGTCTGTGAGGTGAATTTTGTGAATTGCTTCTATATCTCAGCAAAGCTCACTGTGACTCGCAGGGTGAGATTGTGGCAGAGACAAAGACTGTTTCGTGCTGCCCTACTGTGTGGAGTACATTACCAAAGCTTCTGCATTGTGTTTGCTTTTCTAATCCTTGATGTAACAGGGTACTGTGGTTGAATGGTCCCCAAGAACTAGCTGGAGTCTGAATTGAAAGGAAGTTTAGTAACTTCTAATATAGCACTGTTTTAAAAGGGAAGGGCGTAAAAATTAGCCATCAGCTGAGCAGCAGAGACTACTAACAAGGCTACAGAAGTAGGACCTGGAACAACTGAGGAAGTGGAGGGGGGCTTGTATATATGCGTGCATGTGAAGCCCAGAAGTCAACCTCAAGTATCATCTGTATTTTTTGAGACGGTGTCTCACTGGAACCTGGGTCTGGCTGTTTAAGCTAGGCTGACCCCAGAGATGCCACCTGTTTGTACATCCCCAGCCCTACGACACATAAATGCCATCATACCCAACTTTTTATGTTGGTGCTAGAGATGGCTCTGCAGTGCCTCTGCCTGCAAGACAAGCACTTGACCAGCTAAGCTGTCGTCCTTCCTGCCATTAAGTAAGTTGTTTTTGAAAGTGTGGTCCCTGTACAGCAGGTTCAGAGTTACTTGGGGCCTTTGTAGAAATGTGAATTCTTAGGACTCATCCTAGATCTGAATTCTGGAGCTCGGTCTGTCTCCTTGTGTTTGGGTAAGGCATCCACTTGATCCTAATATGAACCAGGGTAAGAACTACTAGATTGAATGATGGTGTTGTCAGAAATGGGCAGTCCTTAACGATGTGTATCTCAGGCACTTCCTCGGGGTTCTGATTCATTATTGAGTTGACCCAGGAGTTCTGATGTTGTTTTGTTTTGTTTTAAGCGCCTCAGGTAATTTTTTCATCTATAAAGAATGGAACACATTAGGTTTAAGTCTTATGGTCAGAGACAAGATTAAGACCCACAAGTAGAGAGAACAAGGTAGGAGGCAGGGTAGTTGTTCCAGACTACTCAGAATAACGCCTGTAATACTAAGAGTTGATTAGAGAACTGCTCCTTCAGATTATATTGATGTGTTTGGAATTTTCCTCTGTATAAAGATGGAGTCTGTATTTTCAGGGCGGGGAGATCAGTTTTTTTTCCACAGGACGAATTAGATTAGCTGTGATTGATGATTTTTAAAGCAGTTTTTGAAAGATGCTAAAAGAAAGATAAAACTTGAGATACTAGAATTGAGCGTCTACTAGTAAGATACTGGCAATGTTTTTAAGTCTGAGTGGTACACATCTATGGAACGGTTGAACCCCAGGTTTCATTTTTGAGGCTTAAACACATTTCCACCTAAGTGATCAGTCTGCTTGATAGTTAGGTTCCCAGCCTAGCTTGAGGGCTCTCAAATACTGTGGAAAATATTTGATATACTATATTGCCAATTCATCAAGCCCATTTTCAAATGGGAAAACTCCATTCTGTAGTCTTAGGACTGAGAGTGGAGGCTCAAGGAAGGGCTTCAGTGGTGATAGTGGCGGTCTGTTGCTTTGCCTGATGGGAGAGTAAGATAACATAGAGAGTGGGGATAGAAACCCTTCCTCCTTAAGGTACTACATAAAGGAGTAGATCAAGGTCTAAGTGACTGAGGGTCGAAGCAGTGTCAGAAACCGGATCCTAAATCTAAAGCAGACTAAGTCTAGACCAAGGAGACATCATTTCTAGGATACCCTGTCCCCTCCTGGTTCTGCTGGTTTGACTATGACCTTGAACGTGCGTATAGTCTTTGACTGTTCCTGCTCAGTTCACATTGATATTCCTGTGATACTACCCAGACACCTGGACATGGCATTCTTCTTCATTAGACCAAAAGTGTCGCAGTCTTCAGGCCTTTTCAGGAGCTCGCTGAACTCCTGATTCCGCGGAGAGCCTGTTGAGAACTGAAAGGTCCAGGATCCTGAAGGCCTACTCTCTCATTACTGAAGATTAATTATAATTCGGGGGAATACTGACACCTGTCTGTTTTTTATTCCTTCTCACCGCAGACGCAGTGATTTCTACATCTTATTGTCTGTGTCGTTTTTTGCTGTTACAGCAGCTTTATATTGTTTGCTTTTTGATTTTTTTTCACTACCCTCAATGGACTTACTTTTTAATTTAGCCTCACCGGAAACAAGAATACATAAAACCGTAGCCTTCGTAAGCCACTTATTTATTTAGCAGATAGACATTATAATCTGTATAAGTGCCAAGATCGTTAGAAGGCTGTCCATATGCATCCAGCAAACGGCCTCACACATCACCAGCTGAGTGTGCCTAAAGTACCGCTAAACCCTGAAATACAGCGCCCTGTAGACTGGTTGCTGTGTGAGAGGCCCACTCCCTAGAAATGACCGTTTAAATCCTGTGAGGAAGAAAGCCATTTTGTGCGTGATGAGTTCATTAAGTAGAACTGGCTGGTGAGGGATGGGTTCTGTGGGTTGGTATAAGAAGACTGTTTGGAGTAAAGAATTCTCAGTGAAAGCCCAGAAGTTATATCCTAGTTGTCTATATAAAAATCTTTGAGGAATAATCATTTTTGTATGAACAAACCTTGACATCCTCTATAACCTGGGGAAAAGCAATGAAGCCAAGGGAGTGAAACACTTGTGTTCTGACAAGCCTGGGGCTGCGTCCTTCATGAGTTACCTCACTGTGCCATATTCAGAGGGTAGAGACTTGGCATCTTCCACAAGGAGGGTGAACAACTTGTTCAGGAACACCAACTGTTACACAGCAGAGCCAGGCTTGAGTACAAGTCTTCCTGACACTATAGCCGCTGATTGCTCTACTCTGTCATGGTTTTGCTCTTGACATCAAACATACGAGTATTTTATGTATTATTACAAAAGAACAACAATGACATTTGAGAGGTGAAAAAGCAGATCACACAGTCAGTGACCTTGATTTCTGGTCTCCTGGATGTTAGAAAGGCTCATTGGCTTTCCGTCACCTTATCAAGAGTTACATGCTTTCTATTCTAAAATTGATGCCTAGGAAATACAAACTCAATAAAGAGAGTCTTAGAGCAGATGGTTGCCAAACAACCAGAGAATTAAATACCATCTGTCAGTATTATCTGAGTTTAATAATTGCCCGCACTGACCCTCAGAAGCATTCTACAAAGTGGATAAAACGGATTAGAGCTATATTCTTTTTTAATCTCCCTTCTCTGATTCTTTGTAAGCAAACCATCTTAACTTCACATTGAGATGTGCATTGTGCTAAAACAGTCAGAATTTTGGTCAGTAGCCATGTAGTTAAAATGATGGGAGGGCTGGGGGACATGGGGACAGGCGGGATAGAGTGCTATTTAACTGTGCAGCAAAATAAAAACTAATAATCTCAACTCTCCAGGTACCTATTAGTTGCTTTGTGGTCCTGGCCAGAACTGTTAGTTTCTGGTTTGAAAGCTACGGGGTTTTCCAGGTTAAAGCAAAGATATAAAAAGAAAGTGTACATTGAAACAGATTGAAATATGCTACAAATTCTTTGAATATGGAGATTGCGGTGAACAGATAGTAATTCTTAGAAATACTGGGTTGCCAGCTCTACTGATCCTTAGCTACAAAATGCCAAATGCCACCAAGAAGAATATAACAAATACAGTCACTGTGAGCAGGAAACAAACAAGTCTTCATGATTATATGGCCCCTTGTCTGATGGCTTCTCTAGACTTGTCATCATTGATTTCTATGAATTAAATACCCAGTAGCAGACGCTAACGGTTTATAACTGTCCTTGGTGGCTTGAAGGCCAGTGAGCAAAATGTCTAAAATGTTACTGAGTGCCTTGCCAGTTTTCCCATCTCTTGCTGTGCTGGTGGGTCTCCTAGTGACATCAAGGAAATGAAGTGCTTGACTGGCT